GGTCCCCGTCTTGCCCCCTGCCCATCTGGTGGAGAGTTGGCTTCCTGCCCCCCCCCAGCCTGCCTAGACCCCAGAAGACCCCCAGTCCTCCATTTCCTGCCCCAAGATTAGGATTAGGGAGCAATTTTTTGCCCGGGGACAAGTTTGCCTGATTTCCTAGTTGAAACCAATGCAAGCAAAAATGCATTTCTGGAGAAAATGGATCTCACATCAGTGGTGGGATTCAGCCGGTTCGCACCACTTCGGCAGAACCGGTAGCTAATTTTTTGTGGCCCAGGCCCAGAACAAACTTCCGGAACCATCGTGCACACAGAGAACCGGTGGTTCACCTATTTGAATCCCACCACTGCCTCAGATATATACCCATTTTCAGCCACACTTCTAAAAGTGATTTCGTGACGAAAAGTGAAATTAGCACCTCTGATCTTGCACCTCCAACACACACTAGATTGGGAACTCTGGTTGAGTGGCTGCGTTTACACCAGCGGTTCTCCACCTGTGGGTCGGGACCCCATTTGGGGTCGAACGACCATTTCACGGGGGTCGCCAAACAACGCCGTCCGCCATTTTTTTCCCCCTTTTCCTTAGCTGTGCTACTCCCTTTTATTCTATTGGATTTTGAAAGCCAATAGAATAGACTCTCTTGAATAGAGTCTAATTCTATTGGCTTTCAAAAGCCAATAGGAATTGCCCAGGCTGTCTCTGCCCTGCTGAGCCCGCCAAAAGTCCCATTCTGCAAACGGTGCTGCACCCGTTGAGTAGTCCTCGACTTACGACCGGTTGAGTAGTCCTCAACTTACGACCGGTTGGGGGTCACGGCATTAAAAAGGTTGAGAACCACTGGTTTACACTATCGTTTCACTAAACTAATGCAAGACCAAAGGGCTGCCTTCACACAGCTTCCTTAGCATTAACCTAAGTATAGAATACAAAATAATATAAAATAGGTCGTACCTTCCTCACTAGTAGTAACTACGAAAGGGATCCCGGTGTCCTAGTGGACAATCCCTTAAATAAGAGCCAGCCATGTGCTGCAGCTGCCAAAAAAGCCAACACAGTGCTAGGCTGCATTAACAGAGGGGTAGAATCAAGATCATGTGAAGTATTAATACCACTTTACAAGGCCTTGGTAAGGCCACACTTGGAATGCGGCATCCAGTTTTGGTCACCACGATGTAAAAAAGATGTTGAGACTCTAGAACAGGGGTGTCAAACTCAATTTCATTGAGGGACGCAACAGCATTGCGGTTATCCTTGGGGGGCCGGGTAGGTGTGGCCAGGGTGGGTGTGGCCAGGGTGGGCGTGGATGGAGTGGGTGTGGCCTACTGGGTGGGCGTGGCCACTCTACATGGTTCGCGTCAAGGGTGCCTGTGGGGGCCTGGGCAGGACTGGGACAGATCTGTGGGTCTCTGGCAGAAGGGGGTGGGACCGGGGCAAGCGCCAAGGCATGGTCTACTGGAAGAGGCTGCCGAAACCGCTCCCCCGGAGCCCATCAAGCCGGATAGGTGAAGTAGGTGGGCCTTGTGTTTGACATGTCTGCTCTAGAAGGAGTGCAGAGAAGAGCAACAAAGATAATTAGGGGACGGAGGATAAAACATATAAGGAACAGTTGCTGAAATTGGGTTTGTCTAGAGAAGGACGAAGGGGGACAGGATAGCAGTGTTCCAATATCTCAGGGGCTGCCCCAAAGAAGAGGGAGTCAAGCTATTTTCCAAAGCACCTGAAGGCAGGACAAGAAGCAATGGACGGAAACTCATCAAGGAGAGAAGCAACCTGGAACTAAGGAGAAACTTCCTGACCATGAGAACAATTAACCAGTGGAACAACCTGCCCCCAGAAGCAGTGAATGCTCCAACACTGGAGGTTTTTAAGAAGAGACTGGACAGCCATTTATCTGAAATGGTATAGGGTTTCCTTCCTGAGAAGAGGTTGGACTAGATGACCTCCAAGGTCCCTTCCAACTTTGTTATTATTATTATGATGATTATGATTATGATTATTATGGATCATCGCACAGTCAGCCAGATGTTCAGACAGGATTTGGCATTTTGTCTATTATTATTATTATTATTATTATTATTATTATTATTATTATTATTATTATTATTAAAGAGAAGAACTAGGAGGTGACATGGTAGCCATGTTCCAGTATCTCAGGAGCTGCCACAAAGAAGAGGGAGTCAAGCTATTCACCGGAAGGCAGGACAAGAAGCAACGGATGGAAACTCATCAAGGAGAGAAGCAACCTGGAACTATAGAGAAACTTCTTAACAGTGAGAAGAATTAATTCCGGCTTACCTCTAGAACAGGGGTAGTCAACCTTGGCTCTTTTATGACTCGTGGACTTCAACTCCCAGAATTCCTGAGCCAGCATGGGGGAACTATGGCCCCCTCATGACTGGTGGACTTCAACTCCCAGAATTCCTGAGCCAGCATGGGGCAACTATGGCTCCCTCATGACTGGTGGACTTCAACTCCCAGAATTCCTGAGCCAGTATGG